TCCTGGAACGTTCCGGAAGAGATAGCCTACAGATCCCCGTGACAGATCATGGAGACGGTACGTACACTTCCCACAAGCTTCCCACGCCGTCCCAAGCAGATGCGGTAGTTACCGTGAAGATCGACGGTAAGGAGGCCGGACAGCCCGTTACGTACAAAAAGTCGGAGAAGGCCGACCCCGTACGTACCGAGGTCAAAGTCAAGGAGGGTACGTTGACCGTAACCCCTTTGACCCAAGAGGGAAATAAGGTCATGGCGAGTTGTAGTGTGAGTCGAAATCTCGATGAAAAGAAAATGAATTGTACAGGCCAATATAATCGAGGGAGGTCACGTGACTCCCGTCGATCTACAATCGGACGGTGAAGGAAATTTCAGCGGAAAATTCGAGGCGAAGGAACAGAAGGCAGATTTAGAAGTCCTTGTAGATGGAAGACACACCGATGGTAGTCCCTACCCCATCTACAACCCGCCAAAAATATCTTCCGAGCAATTCGATCCTCTCAGCTCGACAGTCCGCGTCGAGGGCGATAAGGTGAAACTCCGCGTAAATTTCAAATACTTACGTTTCAGATATACGTCAGCGCTAAGAGACGTAACGGCTCTCCCGCCACGGGCGTCAATACCATGCAGGCGAAGGTAAATTGGCTCGTTGTAGAACGACGTTGAATTCCTCCAGGTCCAACAGAAGAACGATGTGGTTCTCATTCGACTGAAAGAGGAAGGAGAAGGTTCTTACTCTGCAGATCTCACCCAAGACCCTTACCAGCCCTCCGTCATCTACGTAACGGTACGTATTCCGTATTGAAATTTCGCTGATATAACTGTCAGTCTGAGGGAGAAACGGTGGGACACCCCGTCAACCTGGACGCCAAGGAGAGACCACCCAGATCAGCCGATCACACCACCAGCAAGGTGAATGAAATTTCCTCGACTTTCCACTCAAATTTCCAGATCCGTTTCGATAAGGAGTACGTGGAGGTGACGGCGGTGGACGATCTGGGACGGCCGGTTGTAGACGAAGGAGAAGTCAAAGTTATGGTAAGAGGTAAAGAAGGTCAAGCCACCAAGCTCGACGTGCGTCACATTGGTGAAGGAGTCTACCACGCCGATTACCCCAAGGACAACCAGGGGTCCTACACTATCGACGTACGTACCGTTACGTACGTTATGTTGATGACGTCATCAGGTATATCTGGCGGGAAAATCCGCTTCTTCAAAGAGAATTCGCGTTGGAGCTACTCCGTCCAATTCTCCACCGATTACTCCGAGGAGTGCGCCTCCAGCAGAGCCGAAACCCGAACCGAAACCCGAGCCCGAGCCCGAGCCCGAACCCGAGCCGGCCGTTGTAGAGCCAGAAATTTCGACGAAAGATGAGGTAGAAGAGCCTGCGACTCTGTCCATCACTCAGGTGAGAATTTGGCTGGTTGTAGACGGCTGAGTCGACTAGGTCATATTGGGCCAGAACAACTTTTGCATCACGAAGACGGGCGAGAAGACCAACTCAGAGGAAACAGAAGAGAGTGAAGTCTACACCGTGGAGATTGAGGGACCCCTGGGTGAGTGTGGGGGCACAAATATTCGGGCTGACTCGTTGTAGATACACCGGAGAGCAGGACGAGAGATATTCCGGTCAAGAGATATCCCGACGGAAGTTACCGTGCCGCGGAAGAATACCAATTACCCGAGGGTAAATACAACGTGCACGTCAAACGTGATGGAAATCCCGTGGAAAACTCACCGTTTCCCTTTGTTGCTGAGGCTAAGACGTCCACGAGAAGGGCAGCTTGGTTGCAACACAGAGACAGTTATGCGAGGTAACATTGGCTCGTTGTAGACCGAATATTGACGGACTGTAGGTACAAGGTGGGAGAGGCGGAGATGCCACCACACTTCTTGATGGTGTATTATCCCAGACAAGGGAGGATTTTGTGGTACAACATGCCATTTGGAAAGGTGATCACATCTCATCTCATCACCATCTCATCACCATCTCATCACCATCTCATCACCATCTCATCACCATCTCATCACATAATAAATCCTCACATGACAATCTCATCACATTGACACGATCGACATCACATCGACCTGCATGATCTGATCGTCATCTCATGGATCGAACAGGTCGAAGAATTATCCGAGAGTGTACAACTCACCCCGGAGGCTAATCCAGCCCTGAAGCGCGATCTACAACGACTGGTACCTACCACGGGCCGTACCGTCCTCTTCTATAGTAACAAGAACGGCGAGGTAGAACTCGCGGAAATTTCAAAGACTGAAGGTTTCAGGTTGTACACAGCCAGATCATCGGTAACAGACAATTAGGATCCCCCCAAATCATAAAAGATCTGACGAACAAGAGGTGAGAGAACATTAAAACATTTTAAAATGTGATTCGATCTGACCTGACTCGTTGTAGATGGAAGCACATCATTCCTCTGGATGTAGATGGAGAGCCATACGTACTGTTCTACGAACGTGACGCGGGAACCGTACAGTTACGTAAACCCAACGGATCCGAGTTGGAGCTGGTGTCCCAGTCCAAGTGGTCCGGTTCATACGAGAGAATCACTCCCGTAGAAATTGAAGGTCGCACAGCTCTGTACCTCTACAACCACCACAAGAGATTTGCTGATGTAAGTTATCACATCATATCATCATCGCTGCCATCACATCATATCATCATCACAACCATCACATCACATCACATCACATCACATCACATCACAACAGCATCACATCACATCACAACACAGACAGCATCACATCACATCACATCATCGGAGCGAAATCTCCATCATCATCACATCCTTCATCTCACCTCCCCAGGTCTGTTTCCTCGACAAGGAATGCAACCTCGAGAAGGCATACAAGGTCACCCGCCTCTCTAAAAAGTGGAAGTTTGTCATCGGTCTCACCCCGGGTCATCTCCTCCTCCACGAGAAGAAGAGCGGCATCGGTCAGATCGTCGCCGTCGGCAAAGATACCTCTAAAGTCGTGAAGGAGATCAAGGGCTTGAAGAAGACGTGGACGCAGTGTGAATACGTGGCACACAATCGGCAGGTCGTCTTCTTTGGTAGCAAGAGCGGCCAGGCTGTTTTCATGGACTGGGATCCCATTCAATTGAGTTTGAAGACTGCCTTCGAGGTCAACAATTGGAACGGAGCCAAGTATGTCACTCTGGGATATTAAAGAGGTGTCGTGATCGATGTCTGTGATCTTGTGGTGATGGAATGAGCGAACAGATGTGTGTGGATGGATAATTTATAACCATGTAGCGTGTGATGCTTATGTGAGCGATCGTCTTATGAGCTGAGGAGTGCGAAATACGAAGCGAAGAGTTATAGAGGAGACCTCTAATCACCTTGATACATCCGGCTGTATCGTAAAAGGACGCGAATACTGCGGTCTCTGACACGGACCACTTTATCGAAACCTATTTGAAATCTGGGTGAGAAGATGAGAGTCCTCCATGTCAAATCGCGCGGTATTGTGTTTGGCGCATCAAAAACTAGACACAGCAACAACTTCCATCACCATCATGTTCGGATTGCCTCAAGGCTTTAGTCAACCACCCAACCCGAATGGAAGCGCACAACCGATGAATGCTCCGTTCCAGATGGGTGCCAATCCCATGTCGATGCAACCCCATATGATGCCACAACCAATGATGATGCAACCTCATATGATGCCACAATCAATGGAGATGATGCAACCTCAAGTGATGCCACAACAAATGGACATGATGCAACACATGCAACATGCAACAAGGCATGATGTCCGGCATGGCAATGCAGATGAACGCTCACCACCAGAGAGGAATGGATCTCTACAAACAGAATCCCGAGGCCTTCATGGCGAACCAGAGACGTTACGAACAGGAGAAGGTAGAGAAGGCAGCTAGGGAGAAGGCAGAGGCAGAGAGGGCAGCTATGGCTCATCCTTTTGTTCCGCCCCAAGCTTACGGCCACCCCCAGATCTACGGTCAGTCTCCTGCACCTTATGGTCAGCCCCAGGCCTACGGTCCACCCATTCCACAAGGTCAACCACAACTCCAGGGAAGACCCTCACAAGCACCTACCTCGCCTCAACCACACACTCCGCACCTCCATCATCTCCATCGTCACTGCAACCATTCAAAGACTCCCCCCAAATTCTCTCCTTCCTGCGTTCGCTGCAAAGACTCGGCCGCGTGCTTCGCTTGCATGGGTACCGGTGTTCTGGCCGAGAAACAGTGCAGCACTTGTTGCGGCTCGGGTGGCTGCAGCTCCTGCTTCCGGATGCCTTTCTGCTGTCCTCCTGCCGTAGGTGAGATTCGCAACCACCGTCGCGTGACGTATCTCCGAGATATCTTACGTGATACAGAGTGCTCCAAGTGTAAGACTTCAGGTATCTGTTTCGGGTGCCTTGGAACAGGCTCTGGTGTCCACGGTGGCGGCTCCATTTGCTCCGCTTGTTGTGGTACCGGAGGTTGTGACTCGTGCTACCGCATGCCGAACGGTCACTACAACATCAAGCACGTCGAGTGCACTCGCTGCAAGAAATCTGGAACTTGCAATAGTTGCAGTGGAAGTGGAACACGCTCCGGCTCCAAGTGCAGTACTTGCAGAGGCTCAGGCGGCTGCGACTCCTGCTACCGCATGCCGAAGGATAGACAACCTAAGCCGGCGAGACACCCGAAGTATGGATGCTCCAACCCTTATTCCTCTCGAAACAGCTGCAATCAATGCAAGGACGGGCACAATTGCAACAGCTGCATCGGTACGGGAAAGAGGAGCGGAAACAGTTGTAGCGCCTGCAACGGAACTGGAAGGTGCTCGTCGTGCAAGAAGGGACCCCACAGATGAGATGACAAAATAAAACATCCTTAATGCGCATACACTTCAATGGCCATAAGTCGAAATGACCACGCTATTCATCACTCACCGTCAGACGGTAGAAACTCCCTCACTGATCGCACAAAAACCATCTGCCATCAGATGTGTCAAAATCGGGATGGGTGTCTCTGTAGCTCAACGGTAGAGCATGCAACTCTGAATTTCAACAGATTTCATCATTCCGCACAGATGAGGGTTCGAATCCCTCCAGAGAGACCTTTTGTTTTTTTCCACCATGTTGTTTGTGCTTATCAGCTAAATGACGTCAATTCTCTCATCCATATACTAGTCAGTCTGCCCGCTCGACTGTAAGCAAACAAAAAACAAAAGGTCTCTCTGGAGAGATAAATATCAAATGAATGACTCCTCAAACATGTAGTTTAATAGATGATGTTCTTGCATCGTTGACAATCATTCAAAAGGTGACGACGAATCGCCTGCTGTAACTGCTGACGAGAACTTATCACTTGATGGAGTCAAAAAGTGGGGCTCTGTCGGGAATCGAACCCGAGGCACTACCACCCTAAGGTAGTATTTTACCACTGAACTACAGAGCCAGATGTCAGCGAGGTTGTGCTGTCAACCGTGTACATCTTCACTGCCTTCCAACGACATACACACTACCTGTCACAGAGGTTTGCACTAAAAACCATACGGTCGCACGGATCCAATCGTTTATAAGTTAGAAACTATGTATAAGACTGCGATCCGCTCTCCTCGTAGTCGTAGTTGTAGTTTTGATTCCTGTGCTCGTTGAAGAGGTGCTCGTACAGGCAGGGGAGGGGACTGATGATTCCCATCTTCTCTCTGTCTTTGTCGATCAGCTCTCTCAGCGTGGGGTAGCTCGTGTTGTTCGGGTTGTGTGTCGTTCTCATGTAGGCCTGCCCTGTCTGGTGGAAGATTCGAAAGTGTCTCGGTTTACCATCCTGAGCGTTCGGTCAATTTTTAGAAGGTGATGTGATGGGTGATCGTCAGGTGACTTGATGTGTTGATGTCATGGAAGATGAGACGATGATGCCGTGATCCGATGATGATTGAAATGATGATGTGATGATGATTGAAATGATGATGTGATGATGATTGAAATTGATGATGTGATGATGATTGAAATGATGATGTGATGATGATTGAAAAGATGATTGAAGATGATTGAAGATGATTGAAGATGATTGAAATGATGATGTGATGATGATTGAGAAGATGATTGAAGATGATGGATGATGTGATGATCCAAGTGATCACCTTCGTCACCACTGAGATGGTAAAATTTCCCGGGTAAGACGTACTCATGCGTATCAAGAAAGTTCCAGGAGATTTAGAATACCGCCTCAACTCTTTCTCCGCCGTCTTCGTGTCCACGTCACCGTAGAATCCCCTGAAATCTCATCAATCTACAACCAGCCATCTCTCCTCACTCCATGGACATCATGATCATCACGTGATCTACAAATTTTCTCCCTTTTGTCATCGGTCCGAACGTTTCTAACACTCTTCCGAATCGTTGTAGTGAGACGTACACCTCTTTACCCTCTTTACCATCGTCGGGATTCTGTTGGAGGAGGGCACCCATGACTCTGTGCACGTGAGTTGACGTGAAGACATGCGGTAGTTAACGTGAAAGTGTGTGATCATTTGAAGGATATGATGTGACATATGCGATGATTGTAAAATTGTGATCAAACGTAAAGAAAAATGTGCAGTAGTTAACGTGTGGGTATACGGTAGTTAACGTGAAGATGGAGTGAATACCTTTCTTCTGACGTCCCGTGAGCTGGTCGTGGTAGTTCCATGGTTCGATAGAATACATTCATGAAATCATCGTACGTGACCGTTTTCTACAACCAGTCAGTCCCAAACATTCGTGCCGGCCCAAATATTCTGGCTCACCCGAGTGAGGAACTGATCCAACCACATGTGATATCCCATGTGGTTCCTATCTACACTGATGTAGTGCTCCATGACAATGTGTTCCATGTCATGATTAGACAGTATCTCTGAGAAGGAGGGTCTCTTCTTTGGGTCTTGGTCCCAGCACCTGTCGTTTCATCTCAGCGAAATTCGATGATATGTTTTGAGAGAAGATGATTGCCTCGTTGTAATGTATCGTTCACATTGCCGTTCTCTATCGCATGATAACGTCTGCCACGATGTATTTTTCGAAATAAAATGAAATAAAATGTGACGTTCACCTGCTGATCAGCTCGTGGTGCTTCTTTCCGATCGCTTGTGTGTCCATCGGCGGTCTCTCTCCCCTCTGCACTGCCTCGTGGATCTCTATCCAACCGTCAACATCTCATCTACAACGCGACAAACTCACGCGCAGAAGTGTCTGCATCAACCCAAGCCCAATCCATAAAGTGAATCTCCCAGCACATGACACCGAACGAGTAGACGTCAGACTTCTCGTTGAAACTGCCGCTAATCATCTCTGGCGCCATATAAGGTGCAGTACCCGTCATCCCCTTCATGTTCATGTTCGTCTTCACTTGTGACAAGCCGAAATCTGCCGTCTGTGAATACGAGAAAAATTTGAAATTCGAATCACCCGCCACTTTCACGACGTAGTGTTCATCGATGAGGAGGTTGTGTAGTTTGAGGTCCAAGTGTAAGATGGGGGGATTGCTGCAGTGGAGCCAGTTCATGCCTTTGGCACAGTCTCTCATGAATTGGATTCGCAGCTCGAAAGCAACTGGAAGATGTGAGATGGATGGAAGAGGGGTGTCTCACGTTGTCCTCCCGTGCTGTTGCATTTCGTGATGAGATCTCCGACACTGCCGCCGATCATGTATTCCATCACTGTTTCCATCAGTCCGTGAGATGTGTTGGTGGAGAATATCGAGATGAATGGTGAATGGTGGAGATGATGAGAGGTAAAAACTCACCGATTAGTTTTGAATCGGGTTCGATGCATGCACCCATGAATAAAACGACGTTGGGATGTCTCAATTTGCTGTAGAAGAATGAACAAGGAAATATTTCGAAGAAGAGATGGATTGGAAAGAGGACGATTGTAAGATGATACGTACACCATGGTCGATACTTCATTGGCGAAGTCTTGATCCAGTTTTTTCGTCGTGAAAGTGAGTTTTTTGACCACCACCTTTGGAATAGTGAGTTTAAAACAATGAACAAAAGATGTGAGAACCAAACCTGTTGTCCTCTACAAATACCTCTGTATACAGATCCAAAAGATCCTTTACCTGTCGTTTTTTCAATCCAAACTCTCTGGATGCTCGCATGTCATCATCACCTATCGGATTATCCCATTGGCATTCGATTTCTGAGGCACGAATCGTGATGGGCGCTTCACTGAGTGAACTTTTCCTGACTCCCAAGCGGGGAGACGGCGGTGTTCCAGAAGAAAGGTTTAAAGAATGCATCAAAGGCGTCAGAGGCGCCGATAGATTACGATCACCAATACCCCTCGACAGCTTTCTGTCTCTCATCATATTCTGAAGGAGGATCTCCCCTTTCTGACCTCCTTTGAATGAACCGTCTGTGACATCGGTGGACTCTGATCTCTCTAGCGGCAAGTGCCGTGGAGGCCCAGCTTTGTCCATACCCAATGTGTGCGTGTGTTTTACGAATGCTAGGATGAGATCTCCTCAGTGAAAAAATTGATGTCTAAAGTTCGAAGAAAGTTACGTTCTCCGCACAAACAATCCACCACCGCAGCACTACCCCTCCATCTCTTCCCACATCATCATCATCCGAAACATCGCATGCGACTCTCTATTTCTCTCCTTCGGCTCTCAATTTCTGCTCGAGCTCCCATCCTGGTCTGAGCGCATCGACTACCCTCTTCGACTCGTTCGCACCGAGGGGAAGTATGGGAAGTCTGGGGATTCCTCCGTAGCCGAGAGTGCCTCTCATGCCTGCCTTTAGACCCGCAATTCCATGCCATCGGTTGGCCGCGTTGTCCCACTCGACCATTTGTCTCTGAAGGGCGACAGCCTCTTGCATCTTTCCGGCCTGGGTGTAGACGTCAGATTGATGATGACGTCAGATGCATGGTCACATCAGATGATGATGAGTCTTCACCTTGAAGAGGTTCTCTAATTCGACGATTGCACGTGGTGTGATGTTACCCAGTCCAGGGATGACGGCGGTGGAGCCTAACATGAGCGAAGCGAGGTAGAAGTCTGCAGAGCCAGCAACCAGTGTAAACTGTGTGAGATCGACTTTGCCCGACAGAAGACCGACTTTACCAATGTTACCTTCCGTTCCCTAATCACGATGATTAAAACGTGATGCACATATGTCAAGACGATGATGGTCGAAGGTTATGATATCGATTGGAAAAGATGTGAGGGAATAAGAGGAGGTAGTGTGACCACCTTGACTCCGGCGATGTTAGAGTGTAACGCCAGCTCTGCGATGGTCTCCCCATCCATGTCGATTCCACCTGCTACAGCGGGGAAGTTATAGATGATGACGGGAACGGGTGAGCTGTCTGCGAGTGTGGTGTAGTGGTTGATCAGAGCTGCCTTAGTCATGGCACCGACATAGTATGCGGGAGCAGTGACTAACACAAAGTCTGCGCCAGCTGTCGCTGCATCCTTAGCCAACTGTATCGCATTGCGAGTGCCATGTGCTCCTGTTCCAGCGATAATGGTCAAGCCGGGGTCCTGTATGATGTGTCAGATCAGGATGATTGAAAGTGCTGAGATGATTGAAAGTGCTGAGATGTTTGACCTTTTCGTTGGCGATTTCCTTTGCCGTTTGAATGAGAGTCTGCCTCTCTTCGTCAGACAGGTGGACGGCCTCGCCTAAACCATATGATTAGTCAAGATGGAAGAACGAGTCACTGACCTGAACCTCCATTGATAACAAGTCCTCCCAGTCCGATTCCGCACATGAAAGATACGTGCTTGCGAAACGTGTCAAGATCGAGGTCACCATTATCGTGGAAAAACGTGGCCAAAGGTGGGTAAGCACCAGGTGGAAGCATCTTCTTAGCGCTCATGTTGCGTGTTGGTTTTGAAATTGTATTTTGTTTACGCAAAGAAAGCGTGTTGTAAATATTGGCACTGTATGACATGAGAACGCGGGTAGTAAAACAGTTGCTGCGGATATGATGACTCCTGGTGAACGGATGTATATGCATCAATAAAGAGAGCTGCTGAAGGGCACTGTACGTGGTGATATAAAGATGTTACATTTTTCCAGGAATTGACAACGTTGTAGTCGATGATTTCCAAGAATTTGTGTATCCG